AAATATACGGTTATATATAAATGAAGTAAAAAAAAATATAAAGATGATTGACATTGAAATGACAAACACACTAACTGATCCCATTCTAAGTTATACATTTAATTTAATAAGGTAATTCAATTTAATCCCATCATGATAAAAAGTGCTTCTTTGAAGTAAAACATTTCTGAAGAAACCCCGATTTGACCTTGCATTGCAAAAGTCTAGTTGATGACTACGTGGCCTGATGTCCTTAACTGTTTTAAATTTTCTTCTTATATTTTATTAACTTTATATGATTATTTTTATTAATTATTTTTAATTATTACTTTTTTAATAATTATTTATCTAACATGGCTTGTAAGTCTACCTTAACGGCGCCCAAGACCAACACTTCTGCAACACTAGTCGTGCGGGTCTAGCATCCCAGGCGTCCCACTTACGACGTCCCATTTGCAATTATCTCTTTACAGCGATGTTACTTTTGCTACTGTTACACTAATTTGTAATTTACACGGTGTCGTCAATGTGAGGGCAGACGAAGGTAAGGTCTTAAGAGCCTTGGGAATCTTCTTCGGTATGCCACTGCCAAAAGACACTTTGGAAAGGTCCCTCCCTTTCTTCTACTGCGTCCTAAAATATCTATTGTGATAGTTCCGTATATGGATTTCCTTAAAGGCCGTACCGTTTCGGAGGTAATGCTGTGCAGTTGTATAACATATGTAAGATATTATTTTCCTTAATGTTTGCCTGCTAAGAAACTGGTGGATTTTTGTTTTCCTGTTTGGGAAATTGAGAAATATTTTTTGTTTTGCGCATGGTGAATTCATTGGTCATTTTGTTCTCCGTCCATGTTCATTCAAAGAAATTGATATAATACCATTGTATGTCTTGAGTTTAATCTTCATGTTTTCATATACATGTTTACTATTTATTTTTTACTATATGATTTAAAAGTGAATTTCCACTTCCATCAACATTTATTTCTAATTTTGTTGCAGTTTTAATTCACGAATTGCTTGTACCTAAATAAATACATGAATTGATTTGGTGAGTACGCGGAAAAAACAACAAATTGTTTAAAATTTTCGGTTCATCTCCCCAACATTGCAGCTACCTAGTTTGATTTATATATGACGGGAGCGTTTTCCAGGAACAGCCTCGATAGCACCCTCAGGCCCTATTTGTCTATTATGGATGGTTGCTCTGACCTTATTTCAACTTTTAACTTTTAAATTTGTTAACCACCACGGCATGTGTAATAGAAACTTCCATTTACATGAAGTTCATTTCCACGAATCTTCTTTTCTTTCCATGATGAAGATTATACAATTCAATTGTACTGGAATTATGGCACAGGTTTTTAAACTTTAGGAACAAACGACATAATACCGATAAAAATTATACATTGTAACTAAGATATCAACGCGGTTTTTGACCATACTCTAAACAAGTAACAGTAAATAACAGTTTTAATTGTACTAACTCATTTTAGTCTGAAAAAAGGAAATTGTTAGACAAGTCGGATCAGAAAAGAATATTCATAAATCGTATTAACATATCTTTATAAAATTCTTGTTATTTTTAATCAAGACTTTCAAGTTCGTATTTTCTCAAATCAATATTTCTTGAAATGATGAAGGTGGGGTGAGTATGTAAATTCACTTTTTCCAAATGATGGTTCCACTCACAGATTTGTTGTTTACAATGATTTGGATTCCAAGCACTAAACTCTCATCATCAGGTTGAAGGAGTTACAAACACGTCTCTCGCATTTGTACGTCAAACCAATAAACCATAACCACCAATAAAAAATATTTGACGTCGAAGAATATATAATCAGAAAATAAATATTTCGTTTTTTATTATATTGTTTAATAAAATTACTTAACAAAGTTTTAACTTTACTTTTATATTAGTAGTTACTTTTAAGAAATCACCTTCCTCCATCTAATTTTTACTTCACTCAAATTTTACACAAATAACGACACCGTTTAAACAGTTTACATATAAAAAAGTTAAAATAAATAGGCCTTTTGAATATTCATTTTCGACCGTCAAAGCTCTTGGTAAAAACATAATGAAGCTGAAATTATTTATTTTTATAGTCACCACTTTTTTTTCGGTCAAACACGAATTATACGCTTCACTTTCCTCTCTTCAATTTAATCTGAAGAAAAAAATTATATACCCATCCCGAACCACTCAATTATAAAAGTACAAGAAGAAAACGACTTATTAAAATTCCATCTCGTTAACTCAAGAACATTTTGTACAGTCTGCAAGCTTAGTTTCATACCGGTGAATGTTACCTTGGCTTTTTCCAAAAGCGATACTCTAGGGAGCATTTATGAAATGTATGTAGGTTTTTATAAAAGCGTCAATTATGAATACGGTAAGGGACACCTCAGGCTAACAGGATAAAAACTATTTCATTTTGGCTCGTAGGCCTGTCAATTGTAACGCACAAATATTTTTCAATTTTCACTATTTACTTACTTTATAGTATATATAAAGCATTTTAATTAATCAGATTAAATCTCATCTTTTTTGAGAGTTTCAAAATATAATAAAACTATAATTATGCCCATTTTTAAAATAATATTGTTACACACAAAGATATCTAAAACGCACACACACAGTAGAAGTGTGTAACTTGGCATACTGTTTGACAGAAGTTATCCGCAGAATAGTGGAAAAGAGGATCAAAATAACAACTATATCACGATGTGCTAAAATATATTCGGTCGGAGAGGTTGAAGATCACGTAAGGAATCTCCCCCCCCCCAATTGGTTGCATCCCAGTAGAAGTCACAAATGAAATTGTGACGAGGAGGCATCGGTTATTTGCACAAACAGTAGGACCACCATCGGAAGCATGATTCCAAAGTTGAAGTTGATTAGGTGGCAGCACTCACAGGACAAGAAGGAAATGAACTGGCCGATGAAATAGCTAAGAAATCCGCTCATGGAAATAAAACTTCCCATGCGCTACTGGCTGACAGAAGAAAAACTTCAACAGTGGGAACGAGATTGGAATGCAAGAATCTTAAGAGTATGCTTAAGACTTTCCAATACTTCCCAACCGTCTTGTCACGCCAGGTAATTTGATGAAGAAAGTTGCCTTAATCAAGTCGATGACATCCTGTAGCAGCAACTGGCCTTCACCGAAAAGATGATTGGTATAAGAAATTGCTCTAAATTTTCAAAATCTAGATTTTAATAAATTCGAAAATATTGTATCAATTTATTATTATGTGAAGCAAGGAGATAATCGAGTGTCAATTTATTCGGATAGTAATTGATAATTGAATACTTAATTAGTTAAAATTAATTAAAATTAAAAATTAAAACACACAAATTAATTTCAATTTACAAAATATATAAGGTGCCGCACTTGTCAAAGTAAGAAAGAAAAGAAAATTAGACTGTTTTTGAAGGAAAAAGCATTAAAATAGACGGTCAATTAAAATACTTAGGAATTGGTGTTTTTGACCTACATATTTTTGGTTTTTCGTTTTATCTTTTCAAAAAATTTTAAGGGTGATTATTTTCTATATGCCCAATCTGTGTTGACACAGACGGAAAAAGATGATCATTGAGAGAGTAACGTCGCCAAAAGTTTTCCGATATTCTATTTCCCCAACAGGAACTTCTTTTTTTCGTTAAAATGTTTTTATGAACAAGAGAGCTGTTCGACCAAAGAAATTCTAGTAACAACACCTTATCATTTAATGATAAACTGCTATAAGGAACAAAAACCTTTATAAGCGCAAGAGTTCAGTTCCTCATAAATGTTTTTTCGCAAACATGAAATTTTTTTACCTGAATTATTAAAATGCTTAAATTAACAAAATCACCATTTTAAAATAAACATTCTTTTTATAGGGAGTTTATTATTCTTCCTTTAATTACTTTTTTAAATTTCGTTGGCAGGATGTTATTACCATATTTAATTAAGTCTCATTTTTTCAACATCCAAACAATTTAAACCTCAATAATTAAAACGTTAAAATAAATAATTTGTCCAACAAGTATTTCAATTATAAAGGAAATGTTTCTGTGATTTAGAACCATAATTTTGTAATGTTATGTTTCCTTACTGTAGCATGGCTTCTTTGGGTAATAAAACAAAAATAAAACTTTCTTGTCTACCTTCAAGTTTTTTCTAAAACGTTTTTGTTCAACTTTAAGCTTTGTTTAACTTTTTGTCCGATCAAAGTTAACCGAATGGACTAATGAGGACTAACGTTTCATATTATTATTTGTATGCTTAATTTTCATACCCTACCCATATAATTTATAATTTACAAGTTTAACAATAATTGTAGTATCGGGATTTTCCCTGCATAAGATTGGTAGGCCAATTACGATTTATTTATTTTGATTTAATTTATCAATATAATTGAGTAGTAAATTTTTTTTTACCAGGGTTCGTAACAGCAGAGGTTATATCGGTGTTTTTGAAAAAATCCCATTTGTAAGTACGTCGGGTTCGAATGCAGAACCGCTGGATTCGAACCCGGGACCTTTACCTTACAGTGACGAGCGCCGTGTCAACGCCTAAACCGTTGCCGCCACCGACGCCCCCTATAAAATATTTGTTAAATATTTATAAGTTGCAAGGATAAAAATAAAAGACTACGGATAAAAACCATTTATTTACATACATAAGCGAAATTCTATAGAATTTTACACTTTGTCGTAGAGGATTAAAGGAAATCATTTTTCTGAGGGACGATATTAAAAAAATTGATTGATTTGTTTTCTATTTAATTTACATATCATTCTATATAATGATAATAAGATCCGCAGTTGACACTTATAAACATTCAGAAGAGGGCTAACGCTGCCGCTCACACACCAACTTTAAAATAAATTGTCTTTTACTTTGTTTTAGTAAATAACATACATTAATTATCAATAACATATAATATTATAGGTACTCATTGTATAANATAATAAAAATTCTTAATATTTTTGTATCGTCATACACACGCACAATTGTATCAAGTCTCTCATAACTTACACGAAAATTTATTACCGTCTCTATGTGTGTTATATAACGCTTATTTCTCATTTTCCTCCTTTGTTTTACAACGCCTCTCCTTTCTGTCTCACTCCCATGTTGTGTTTAGTGATTATAGCGAAAATATTTTGCGCACATTGTTGGTAAACTTAGAAAATAAACGGTGTTGCACTTGGACACTTAGACAAAAGAAAGTTCGTTCACTTTTCACCAACAGTAGACACTCAGCTCACCGCCTGAATCCCCTGTGTGCCGCCATGTAGTCATTCCCTTCGCCTGGAGCTGGAAAAAAAAACTAACATAAGCCATTTCGAAACAAACCAATAGAAAAATAACATACGGTACATAACTTTTAAATAAAAAAATAAATGTGATAGTATTCACTTTTAAAAAGGGCAAAAGTTTAACAGTCAAAGAGAAATTAGCAACTTTTAGAAATTCCAGCAGGGATAAATCGTTCTATAATATTTGTTTCCTAAACAGAACACATAAAATTAAACTGAGATGATAAGAGTTTAAAACAAATGACAGCTTAATGTTACACTAGAGACGGGACTTTTGTAACACCATTTTGCAATACAAGTTTCCGTGATGGATATTTGATCATCTTGGGATCGGCTTGGTCTCAAAGGTTTTTTCAGTCATCTCAACCGTATCCAATAGCACAATCAATTTTAACAAAATTTTCGTAGTGAAAAAGAGTTGTTATATTTTACGCATTAACAGACCGGGAGAATTCAAATGAGCAGGAATTTGTATTAAATATTTTTTTTGGAAGGGGGTTATTCTGAATAATTGTTCTGTTCTATTTTAAAATTTAGGTATAATTATATAAATTTCAAAGAGCTTATGAGAAATTTTGTTACTGAATTATTCCAAAAATGGAACATTCGCAAATAAAATTTTTGGTAGACTATCTTCTTTTTTTTCAAATTACAACACATCGTGCACAATTTGACAGCGAACAAATAATCTTTTTTTACCAAACAAATTGTCAACCTACAAAAAGAACAATACTTTTCCTAAAAAGTGTAGTAAATATAAATGTAGGAAAACCAACACCAAATGTGAAAGTATTTATATGCGTGAATGGTTAAATGAGTGTATTTAGACGGTTGTATGGCGTAACTTACAGAAACAAATGTCGGTCTAGTTAGATTAATTTTATTAAGGATCGCGTAGCATATCAGGTGAGTCACCGCGTAATATTTTTTATACGCAACAAAGTTTTTGGTGTTTTCAAAATTTTTATTTTAGGTCAGGTTTCAAAGGTACTACCCGATATGAATATTTATGGGCGTGAATGATGGGCATCGAGGTTTCGAACACCAACTGTAGTATGGATCTTTTAGATTGGTTTTAAGAGTAAGTACAAAGTAGCATTTCGAGTGCTTTGATTCTCACCAAACCTAGGTTAGCTTATGGTTAGGACCTTATAGCTGCGTGGAAGGGTTAAATATCACAGTGAAGAATACAAAACTTCCCACCCCTTCTAGATCGCTTGACTGTGGTTCGTGTGCACCATTCAGCGGTTACTCATAATAAGAAAAATTGGGCAAGATGGAAAAAAGTGTGAGAAGTAGGCAATGACCCTAGCAGACAGCCGGCCGGAAAATAATAATGTATAGCCAACATGAGCTCTTTAAACTCTACTAATATTTTTAGATAAAGAGTTCGTCATAATCACATTTTACATCTTTGTTGGTTTAGGAGTACTACCGGTGAGTAGTTTCTCCACTCTTGTTTTTCTTAATATTTATTCATACATTATAACTAGATGCCAAAATGCAGGTAGTTGTAATGTACAATTAAAAAAAACAAAAAACATCTTTGTATGACGAGCTTGTAAATACGTTTTTTTTTATCGATTCAACATTACTTTTACTTTGCAAATTTTAAGTTTAATCATAAGTCAAGTTGGAACTACATAATTTTAAATTATGTCGTGTAATAGAAAGTCCCCGAAAATGAATTATTTGATGAATATATTTTCTGATTTATCCTAGTTACTAAGGTTCTCATTTAGTATCACCACTTTTCATTGTACAACTGAAATATATTTATAGTAATATGTATGTTGGAATTACTTATTACACTATAGAAATTAAAATAAATACAAAATTACAAAAGTTTATAAGAAATCTCTATGAATCATCTGTTCAAAATGTCTATTCTGACAACCCCTCTCCCAATGAATTAGCTGATTATTTACAACGGTAGTATTATGCTACTTTATTTTTAAAAACGCGTCAGACAGACCAAAACAGATATAATGTAAAATTAGATAAAATTACGATGTAGGATTGTAACAAATAGTTGGCAGAAGACAGAAAGAAATTATTTATGTAAATTAATGTAGTATATAAAACATACAAGAAGTTTAAGTGTTTATAGAGGATGATCATCATATTAAAAAAATTACAGTCACAGCACATCTAATGGAGTAACATGCCGTAAATCTCATGGTTTTAACTCAATCATAAAATCTGAATTTTCTCCACTCTAACGTAACTTTTTCTAACTTTTGACACTATTTTTAAATTCAGCAACGATTTCCTTTTAGATTAATCTTCTGTCTCAAAAATTGCCAATCTACTTGACATTTTGGGTATAAGAGGTACGAAAAGGAGACCAGGTTCTTATAATAATATTGGAAAACGGAATCATGATATACCTCGTCCACTCTACTAAGCCAAACTCATAAAATTATTATGATTGAAGTCGGATTTTCGAATAATGTGAGTAGATGTTCATATTTTTTAACCGTTCAAATCTTTTAAAATATTTTCAATGCCTTGTTGATGGAAGGGATCCAGGAAAGCTTAACAAAGGAAATGGGTGGTTTTCCTTTTTCATATTCGCCCCATCTCTGATCTTTATATCTACAATAATAATAATCATAAGGATAGGTAGACCTAAATAATAGAAAATAATAAAATTATATTCTTTAAATAAAGGGAAAATTAGGTCAAATCAAATTCCAAGGATACGTTTTATGGCTGACACTTAATTAGTGGGGATAGAAATTAAATTTATTTCAATTAATAAAGGTTTTTTGTGATTTAAAAGGACCATTTCATTGGCATTTCATATCTGGCTACCCAATGAATTTGAAGCATATCTAAATTGAGTTACTACAAATCAATAACAATGAAACGTATCAAAGATAATTAATTTCAATCAAAATGTTTTTAATTGAATCAACGGGAGGATTTCAAAATTCAGGACTTTTGATTGCACAATATTACATATACACATTTTTTGAAATGAAAAGCTATGTTTTTAAGCCGTCCTACTTTATTAAAAATACAATGACACAGTTATAAAGAATCGTATCACCTCTTAACGTCACCAGCAACGTAGAGGAAAAATAAGGGCGTAATGAGAAAATAAAGTACGTAGTTGATAAAAGGGAAGGCGTTGAGGGGTGCTGAGTGTGTACGCGAGGCTGGTGGTGTGTAAGTGTAGGGGTAGTCTAGTACAGATAGTAGGGGTAGGTCCATGGGAGAGAGCCTCAACTATTGATTGCCCCTTGCGCCCCCCGCAACATACCAACACCGGGTACCAGCCGTTTATCCCACCCCCTACCCCAACGCCTTAAATTATATCATTGAGACACACAGCTTATCGCTTCCTTTTATACTTTCTTTCTTATCTAGTATAGCTTTCGAGGAATTTTGTTATGCGATTAGCCTAGTTTCGTCGGTCGGGGGTGAGAAGTTTCAGAAAAATAGCCCCTATTTAAACGCTTAAGTTGGAGTCCAAATTTAGTTTCAAAGCATGCACGAATGACCTTGAACTGGTACACATTTTAACTGACTCGTTAAAGAAAACACTGCAACTTCGACCAATAGCACAAAGCAATCATTCATGTTACACTTGTGGCGTCAATAAAGACAAAGTGGATGAATGAAACTCATTCCAACCCTCTATATAAAGTCATTGATTATAATTTATCGAAAAAGTCATACCAATCAGATAAATTAGATTATAAAATTAAAATCGACATATTTAATTATTATTGAACTCCAATTTCCCGGAAGTTATAATCCCCCCTGTAACCTAAGCCAATCCAACAAAGTTTTATCTTCTAGCCATGTATCAAAAGCGCGACAGCGTTCGAACCGAAAAAACCCCAGAGAGAATGGAAAATCCATTATGCTCGGACACGATGAAACCTCCCAGATTTCAACAAAATTTCCTACAATTTTTTTCATATTTTCTTGACAGTCTATCATTAAAGAAATACCGCACAAACAGCACTGAAATTTAAAAATATTCCATGAAATAGTAATTTGGAATTATCTGACGCATAAGATGGTTATCTTTAGGACATCTACATTTAGACGAATTTCAAAAAATGTTTTTAAAAAAGTCCTATCAGAAAAGAGGCAGACGTTAAAAAATGACCAAAAGTCTTTGATTTTAAGTGGTACCCATCTTGTTTAACTTCTAACACACCTAGGCAACATACTTTCAAAAAATCATATCTGCAGATTCTGTAACCAAGAATAATCTCCCTGACATGTTATCGAATGGTTTTATCGAAAAAAAATCACATCGAAATATCTCGATAGTACCAACTACTAGTGCCATCCTCCGACTTGAATTCATTCTAAGACTATCTAAATAGCTGCTGACTAAGCACTTTAAACGATTATCAAATTATTCAAAATACATTATGTTAGTTTGTTGAACATTCTAGATCAATACTGTTGGACCACTTTTAAGAAATGGTTCTGGGTCAAGAATTGTGTCACATAGAAAGCAAATCATACACAGAAAATCCATTCCTTTGAATTAAACACTTTACGAGATTTGACATCCAAATTTCGAGAATCATTGATTAAATATATACATTTCATACTAACGATTGTATTTGATAACATTTGGTATATTACAATTAATCAAGGTTTTTAGTTGAGATAAAAAAGTCAATGTGGCACGAGCGGGATTCGAACCCACGATCTTCGGCCTAGATACGCCGCTACTCTACCACTTGAGGTATCGTGACCTCGATCCACTCGGACACTAACGTCCCATCTCAACCCCACCTTTTGAAATTTCCCTCCTTTTTGCCATTTTTTTTGCATTTTTCGAGGTCACGATAGCTCAAGTGGTAGAGCAGCGGCGTATCTAGCCGAAGATCGTGGGTTCGAATCCCGCTCGTGCCACATTGACTTCTTCATCTCAACTAAAAACCTTAATTAATTGTAATATATTAATTGGTCAAGCGGACCACGAAATTAGTGAATTTGGTATATTGGTATATTTTCTGGCAG